GCTCGGCACACTGCTCGGCCCAGTGCAGTCTACGACGTCCCGGCCGTATGCCTGCCTGTACTGTACCCCCTCTATATACAAACGCCTTCGTAAAAACACAGTTTCGCTCCAGGTTGCTCGGAGTTGCTCTCAAAACATGACCAAACAACTTTAGTTGTGCCCTGTGAATGTGGTGGGTGAGTGGGGGCTGGTCGGCAAGGGCTCGGACTCCTTCGTTTCGGATGGTCTGTGCGTGGGGGTTGTCTGTGAGGACCTTGGTGTAGTAGGTGGCTTTGATCCTTTGGATCTTGCGGAGTGACTGTGAGTGGAAGGCCTCAATCCTGTGGAGGTCTGCTGTGGTGAGCGCAGCGGACTCCATGCCGTAAGCAATCATGGGGATGAAGACCGCGTTGTAGATGCGCAGCTTCCACGCTACGCTCAAGCCTGTGTGTCTCCAAAAGGCGTGCAGGGTGTTGAAGTGCTTCCGCGCTTTCCCCAATCTTGCGGTGATGTCCGCCTTGCTAGACGAGTCCTGGCTGAGGACAACGCCGAGGTACTTGGCCTGTGTGACTTCCTTCATTGGTTCACCTGTGAGGAAGTGTATGTGGTTGACGGCCAGCTGTGAGCGCAGCAATTCGCACTTTTTAAGATTCAACGAAAGGTTGCTGTGAGCAGCAACTTCCTGAATCTTGTGCAGAATCTGCTGGCCCCTTTCCGCAGTACCTGTGAAGACGGCCATGTCGTCTGCGTAAGCGAGGTCGTAGAATGGTTGGTTCTGGCTGAAAAGCCACGGAAGCATCTGGCCGTGCTGCTGCAGCTCCGCGTCGACATCGGCCATGATCATGCTGTGAACCACCAGGAAGAGATAGGGAGAAAGCGGACAGCCTTGGCGAATGCCCGAGCTTGCAAGAGACTGCTGGCTCTGTTGTCCTGCTGCCTTGACTGTGAAGGAGGGGTTGTTGTAAATCGAGCCAATCAGATTGACAAACAACGGCGTCACCCCGTGGCGTTCGAGTGCCACCGTGACTGCCTGCGGGTGAACTTTGTCAAATGCCTGGCTCCAGTCAAGAAGCTGCACGTACAGGGTTGAGCCGCAGCGTTCAGCTCGCTCCAACAGCCTCCTTGCCACATGAATCGCCTGTGAGGTCGATCTGGTGGCTCTAAACCCATACTGTGTGGGTCGCAGCTTGTGGTCTATCGCCTGCTCCAGGCGTTTCTGGAGGAGTCTGGCGAAGAGCTTGTAAGAGGTGCTGAGGAGGGCGATGGGGCGGTAATTGTTGGGGTCCGCCATAGTGCCGCGCTTGTGAATCTCAGCCACGACTGCTGTTGACCATTCTTCCGGTACCAGACCTGTGAGCAATGCGTCGTTGAAGAGGTCCAGTAGCGGTTGCCGATTGTGGTGTGAGCCACTTTAAAGCCTCTGCAGGAATTTGGTCCGGGCCTGGGGCTTTGTGTGAAGCCATGCCTTTGAGGGTGGCGTTGAGCTCCTCCATCGTGATGGGTTCCATGTTGACTGGACTTGCGTCCGTCAGTTGGTGGGTGGGTCCTGTGTAGTCTGTGGGTGGTGGGGCCCACTGAACTTCCGACAAGTGTTTGGCAAAGGTGTCGGCCTGCTTGCTGTAGCTGGTAGGCTTGCCGTTGGAGTCGTGTAGAGTGACCGTACGGGGCCTGTAATCCGAGCGGATGCGCTTGATCCAACGCCACTTGTCCCGAGCGTCCATGGTCTCTTCGCTCTCCTGAAGGCGATCCTTGAGCCATTGCTGCTTGTCCTTGCGGGCCTGTGAGCGGATGGTCTTGTGCAGTGCGCGCTCAGTGTCCAGATCCTGGCTCTGGCGAGCGGCAGTTCGTTGTTCTATGAGCTCCCACGTCTGCTGGCTAGTCCAAGGGTGCTTGGGTTTGCTGTCCTGTGTGGGGATATGCTTCTCCATGGACTGCAAAATGGAATCCTTGATCGATTGCCATTGCTGGTCCAGCCTCTGCTGGTCGGTGTTCGACTGTGAAGGCTGGGGGGGGACGTCCTCCGCTTCGGCCTCGGGTGGGGCAAGCTCCTCGAAGGCTGGCTTATGCTGGAGGGTTTCTGTGAAGTGTGCGTTGAAAGAAAGAATGGACTGTGCGTCGGGGCGTCTGGTCGGCTTGGGGGTGGGTGCTGCTCTCTTGTGGCAGGCTGTGTGTAAGGAGAGCGTGACTCTGGTGAGGAAGTGATTGCTGTTGAGGGCGGCGTTCGGGAGGGTGTGCACATCGGTGACCATATTCTTCCAGGCGAACTTAGTGATGACGTGGTCCAGCTGGACCAGGTCACCATTCGGGCACTGGTGCGTCATCCGGTGTGTTTCGGCTTTGTCCATCCACGTCTGTGGGAAACACAGGTCGTGACTGACCGACATCTCGAACAGCTGCGCGTGATTGGACAAAGAATCATCCTCGCCAGCCTGTGAGGCTAAGGTCTCGTCGGCCACGTTCGCTCCAAAATGGGCGTGGGGCCCGACACTGCCGCGATTGGCCGAAAGTTCGGCGCAAAGTGTACGTGGGGAAACCCGAGGCTATTCATTCCTTCTCCATTCGGGAGTCCCTTCTACTACTGGGTGCATGATGATCGCCACTCGCGGGACGTCGGCCATCGTCGTCCTTGCCTCTGTCTGTGTGCGGGTGTGCTTGTGTCTGTGGTTTTTTGTTCTTGCATGTCTGTGCTTTTTTGAATGGGGCTGCTGCCAGGTAAGATGGAGCTGTTCGTCGGCGACTTGCCCGAAGACGTGACTGAAGCGGACATAGAAGACGTGCTTCCCTCGGCTGTCCTCGGGTTAAGCACGTGGATGCATGCAGGGAATAAGAGCCTTAATTGCTCAGGTCTTCTCCAGCTATGGCCATCTACTCGCCATCGACCTCAAGCCCACAACGTCAAAGCTGGGGGATCGCCTCGCTTTCGTGGCATACGAAAGCTCACAGGAGGCGGGCTAGAGCAGAGATGGGGCTGGGCTGGCTGAAGTTCTGAGATTGTGAGCGTCTGATTGCAGTGATGCAATGCGGAGCTTGTGCTCTCAGGCAAAAAGTGCAATGAAGGCGCTGAACAACGTGTATTCGTTCAACTCAGGCGGGGGCGAGAACCTGAAGCGGCATGTGAGGTTTAGGCGGACGCCGTGCAGGTCAGAAGCCGATAATAGTGCAACCTAGACAACGAACTCGGCGAGAAATTCGAAAGATGGGAAAGTGGCTGCGGAGATGGAAACGATCGAAGATGAGGCCTGCCTTGCTTTTATCACACGTTTGCAAGAAGGCCTTTGTGTGCAATTGATCCGTGCAAATGATTTTGTTGATGCTGTTCAATGGGCCACATGTTGTGGTTCAGTGTGCTTGAAGCTCGTGCACCATTGCTACCAACAGCACCGGCACCAGCCTAGCAGCAAGAGCCCAGCATACACAACAACACAGCAGCACACTAGGCGGCACACACCATGGACACGGAGCGCGAAATTTTGGCCCGCCTCCTGTGGACCGTCGCCCTCCGGACGAGGAGGGAGCGCTTCTGCGCGGAGTCATTTGATTATGCCCAGGAGAAGGAAAAGATGAAGCATGCCTTCAGCATAGCGAGGGGCCACCTTTCCGAAATCTTGGAGCTGGTCGAACTAGAGGATGCTCGCTGGGAATGGGAGAGGACCATGCTGAAGGACAATCCTTATGACGACAAGAAGAAGGAAATGGTGTGAAGCGCAATGCGAAGGGCGACGCTGCGGACAGGGACCAGGCCGCAAGCAGCAGCGGAGGTCGGAGCAGATGAGGAGGCTACGTGCGACTGCTGTGATCCGCTGGGGCGCAACGAGTTTACAATCTTGCCTGAACTGGCTGGGTATAATCGCACATGAGGTGTGGAGTCCTCTTGATTCACTCGATTCAGCCAAGGGGTGGAAAATGCGAGTGCTTTTGCCGGGGGTTGCTTTTGGTTTGGTTCAGGGCACCTTAACCCTTTCGGCCCCGATGCAGGCTGCCCGCTATAAGAAAGGCGCTGAGAAAGCAGCCTCCAAGGGCGCTGAACAAGCAGCCCAACAGGTGTCATGCCGATCTAGACACTGCTTATTTCTGGGTGTTGTAAGGCTTGTGTCTCAAAGCTCCCGGCCTTCGCAAGAGCAAGCAGCGGCCGAGAGCCCGAGCCCGAGCCGGGAAGCCCAGGTGGTTCCACCACCAACAGGCATATGCTTGCTTTCCTGTTAGCTCCCAGGGCTTTTCTTTTAGTTCCGAGGTGGCTCAGATGACTTCGAACAGAACAAGGATGGCTGTGGAGATGCAACGATCGATGAGGCCTGCCTTGCTTTTATCACACGTTTGCAAGAAGGCCTTTGTGTGCAATCGATCCATGCAAATGATTTTGTTGATGCTGTTGAATGGGCCGCATGTTGTGGTTCAGTGTGCTGGAACCCCGCGCACGCGTCGACATGAGGCAAGAAATAGCCTAACAGCACCGGCACCAGCCTAGCAGCAAGAGCCCCAGCAACAGCACCGGCACCAGCCTAGCAGCAAGAGCACCGGCCAGCAACAGCACCGGCACCAGCCACAGCGCTTGCAGCAGCACCAGCACCAGCACTATAGCACCAGCACCAGTAGTTAAGCATGCCGGGGAAGAAGCGCCGCATCGGGGCCCGAGGCGGAGTGGAAGAGGAAGCACCGTGGGGCCAGACACTAGTCTCAATTCTATTCTTGTGGACGACAAGAGGGAATCAACAAGGAAGGAGATCGCAATCGCAAGCCCTAAACCCTGGACCCCTAAACCACTGTTCCGAGCCAAGGAAAGACTCCTGCCCAGAGGCTTCGCGTGGCAGAGCGGGCTCAGGAGAGAGCCGAGGCCCAGGCAGAGGAGTTGGAGGACGGGTTTTCGGGTTTGCCAGTTGTGGATTCTGGAGACAGGCCCGGGGAGGGCGCTGAGTAAGCAGCCCACTGAAGGCGCTGAGCAAGCAGCCTAGATGAGCGTTCAAGAGGGGAAGGGCGCTGAGCAAGCAGCCCACAACAGGCGCTGAACAAGCAGCCTAGACTTGATGAGTGTTCAAGAGGGCAGGGCGCTGAGCAAGCAGCCCAGGAAAGGCGCTGAACAAGCAGCCTGCAATCCGCCCCTCCAATCCTCGAATCCCTGCAGCCCTCATGTATACCGGCCCGTTATAGGAGGAAGCCGCCAGGGCAGAGATGAGAGCCGAGGAGATGGAGCAGCAAGCCTGGGCTGCAGATCGGCTTGCGTCAGAAAACGCCGATCTGGCGAAGCGCTCGGCGGTGGAGCTGCACAACGTCAGGCACAATCCACGAGACCCTAAACCCTAAACCGCAGAGATTCTCTTCCAGACACACTGCTTTGCAGGAGGAGCAGCAGAAGGAGCTCCAAAAGGTGGCTGCGGAGGCGGAGCAGCGTCTCCAGAAGAGGCCAGGCTGCTGCTGAGACCGAGTGAATCTGAACCCAGTGGCATGTACGCGTTGCTGTGCAGGGACCTGGAGTGGACGGCAGCGGCGCGGACCCGCGACAAGTGGCACTCCTCCGTGCGGGATCATTTGACGGCGGAACTGCAGGACGGAAATTTGGGATATTAGTTGTTAATTGACCTTGAAAGTGACACTGGCAGGAGAGCCGCAGCGAGTCCCGAACCCTCGCCGGGAAGCTGGAGGACGAGCAGCAGGCGTCCCGAACCCTCGCCGGGAAGCTGGAGGACGAGCAGCAGGCGGCGAAGAAGGACTGACTAGGGTCTTATATAGACCAGGCGCTGAACAAGCAGCCTCTCAGGGCGCTGAACAAGCAGCCCGCTCAAAAGGCAGACGGAACAAGCATTGTGCACCTGGCCAGGACCGAAAGGAAGCTGCAGCGGAGCTCCTCATGCAGCAGGCCGCCAACATAGCTCTGGAAGTCCAGCTGATTGGCGGCCGCCGCGGAAAACAGAGTGAGCCCAGCAGCGGCACTGGCGTCAAACGCCGCGGACAACAGAGTGAGCCCAGCAGCGGCAATGGCATCAAAAGACCGTAGGTCCCGAGGCTCAGCACCAGCAACAGCACAGGCACCAGCATCAGCAACAGCACCAGCACCAGCAGCATGAGCAACAGCACGAGCAGCACCAGCAACAGCACAGGCACCAGCATCAGCAACAGCACCAGCACCAGCAGCATGAGCAACAGCACGAGCAACAGCACCGGCAAGAGCGGCAGGAAGCACCACCAGCACCACGAAGCACCACGAGCACCACGAGTCAAATGTCCTGCAAGACTACCTAGCAGCTATAAAGTCCATGGACATCGCATTCTGTCCTTTCAGCTGTTTCAGTGGAAAAAAGTCATACAGGACGTTTGGCTTCCATCGTAGCTGGGCTGCGGTACGAATATAGTCTTGGAAGTAGTCGCATAAATAAACGACAAGTTGTGTTAAAAAGAGCCCGACAGCCCCACTCTCTGTGCTGCTAGAACAGGAGCAGGCGGCGCCATGTGAAAAGAGTGGATCGTGGTCGTTCTAACCATGTGTGTGCGGCGCTGAAGAAGCAGCCGTGTTGATGTGGCGCTGAACAAGCAGCCAGCTGTTGAGTCTACTTTTCTAAGTATCTTCTTACAATGCGAGGCCAACGATCTCGAGCCCGAGCCGGACACTTCAGAAGACGAAGCATGTTAATGTCGTTGGCCAGGGGCCAAGAGGTTCGAGCCAGCTGTTGAGTCTACTTTTCTAAGTGTCTTCTTACAATGCGAGGCCAACGATCTCGAGCCCGAGCCGGACACTGTTGAAGACGACCCAGGTTATCCAGAGGTCACAAAAGAAGCAAATTGCTTACATGCTGTCAGCTTCGCATGTGAAGCCACAACATGTCACTCATGCTATCTCATGCTGCAGTGCCGTGAGATGACTTATTTGCTCCAGCGCTTTCGTATGATGAGCCATGCGGCTCGGGAGCGGGAGCTCCGCTCCATAAGCTTCCAGCAGCTGGCCGGGTGCCTATTATAGTGCTTCGCCGAGGACCTGCTCCATCTTGCTTGCTTGTCTCAGGTGGCTCTGCAGGCGGAGGTGTCAATAATGATATACTGGCACACCTTTGAGGCCGAGCAGGAAGTATTGGCCGAAGAGCGGCAGAAGGCCGGAGGGGGGGCAGCCGGGGACCACCGGTGTCGGTTTCAATATGCAGGAACAAGAAGACTTGGTAGAAGTGGAAGTGGAAGAAGAGGCCGGAGCGCTGCAGAGAGGGGACCACCGGTTTCGGTTTCAATGTGCAGGAACAAAAAGAGTTGGTAGAAGTGGAGGTGGAAGAAGAGGCCGGAGTGCTGCAGAGGCACCGACCGTGTTCTGTGTTCGTTGGCCAGGTGAGAAGAAGTTCCAGGTCTCGCTCAAGGAGTCCTCGTCGTGGATGAATGCCAATTCACGACCGGGGAAGCCACATAACTCCATGCACCAACGGCCATGGATGCTCTGGGGCGCCCATACATAAGACTACAAGTCAGATATGCTGATCGAGAAGAAAGCAGCATTGTCTATTGTGGCTTCACATGCGAAGCTGGCAGCATGTAAAGCTTTCCGAACTGATTTTACCACTCCTGCAGAAGTCTCAGACCGGTGACTCCATCAAGCCGACATGGCTGTTCTGCATGAAGTCCTGAGCCACCTCGTAATAAATAACAGAAATCGACCGATGTAAGTGGAAAACCACAGCTGTAGCAACCATGCCATGCCCCTCCCCTGCCCCCACGTGATCGAGAGCTGTGTAAGAGATTCTCTATAGAGCTGCTCTAGCTACAATAGCACCATAGACCAAAAACATCCAAAAAACAAATTGGATGCTTTAGAACCTGCCCCCGCCGTGCAATAGTGGTAGAATAGGAATATATTATGGCCCTTATACAACCCTATGTAATTTCTTTAGTGACTATTGCAGGGTGGGGGCCAGTTCGAAAGTATGATGCAATGAGCCTATTCAATTTCATAGACGCGGTGTGAGCATGTGCTGATTGGGTGTCTCCAATTGAAGCGAAGGCTGCTTCAAGGACGGGCGTTTCTTCTTTCTTGAATATGCAGCGGTAAGTTACTTGCAGACGAAGGACCTCATGAATTTCGCGGCCGCACGTCGCTGCTCTTCTACAGGCCATGCACTTTCTAGCTTCCATGTAATTTAAATGTGTCTTTCACTTTCTATTAAGATCATGACCGGTGCGGTTTCTGCCTGGGTCATCCTGCACACAGGCACCTTTGTTGCCTTTCCTCGCGGGGACCGGTGGAAGGCCCGGCCGATACCATAATGTGCACATGTGCGGATATGCTGCATGACCTCCCCTGCTACAGGTTGTGACGATTGGAGCATGGGCGTCTCCAAGAAGCGGCGGCTTATTGGAGGACCGTCCTTGCCTCTTTCTTGAAGCTGGAGCGGCACGTTGCTGGAAAACCGTTTGGAAGCCGCAAGCCTCTTTCTTCAAGCTGGAGCGGCATGTTGCTGGAAAACCGTTTCGAAGCCGCAAGTCTGGGCTTGTATAGGCCATTCGCTTTAAAGCTTCCATGTCCTTAAATGTTCTGATTGTGCTTGCCCTTCAATAACAGCTGACGGATCGCGACACGGAATGTGAAACTGGGATGTGTCAGTGCAGAAAAATCTTGCACTTGTGTTTCGCATCATGGCCGGTGCCCCGCCGAAGGGTGGTCGTCACGTGGCATGAAGGAGCGAGAGCTGACCGAAGCCGAAGTCGATCCGATTGTCACAGAAAGTCGTGACAAAATCCCGTTGGACATGCACGTTCGCATCAGTGATCGGCATGACATGGCCGGCCTCTTTGGAAAGCATGGTGAAGCTGGCAAGAAGCTGGAAAGACAGCTCCTCAGGGATTTCAAGTGGCTTTTGATGCCGATCCTTGATGCCGAGCCGGCATTGCTCTTATCAATGTCGTCATACGAGGCTCTGACGAGCAAGCTTCTGGGCCGTCTCCTGGCCGACCCACCAATGGAAGTCATCACGAATGCTCTCGCCGTTGATCTGAAAGCCATGGTTTCTTCGATCAGGAAAATCCGGCGAAACTGGAAGTACAATGCTCGAGCTCAGGGGAGACAATGGCCCCAATCAGCTGAACATCCGGACATGGAGGATCTGCTGACGATGATATCCAGCATCGAGGACATTGGCGACGAGGAGGATCCGGATCCAGATCCAGACTGGAGCTCCAGATTTTTGGAGAAGCGGCAGGAAAAGCTTGGCCAACTTGCAGGTCGCACAATTGAGATTGTCGACGACGAGGATACCGACAGGGAGGCCAAGACATGCATAAATTCCCTCTTGCATCTTCATGGAGTCTAGTGTGGTCAAGCTAGACCACTTCGGCAAGGTAGGTGTAGTTGCGAAGTTTGGTTTTGAAGTTGTGGGGGCGGCCGAAGAGCGACACGTTTAATAAAGTACTTTTTCTCTCCTTCTCTTTCTCTCCTCCGAGTGTCAGTGCATGTGCAGGTGACTTCCTCTTCGAATCAAGCGGCTCGTGCCCGCTCTCCCCCTGTGCGAGAGGATCTTGGACCCGCGCCAAAAAAGGCGAAGGAGCCACATGCAGTTCAGATGTCCCGAACTGAATCACTTGCATTTCTTGTCGCTCTAATGCTGAAGCAAGAGAAGCACCTGTCAACTGTGCAGGAGCAAAACCATGGCTGCCCCATCTGCGAAGACTAGGACCAAGAAGAAGGTGCACTTCACACGTCCCGACAATAAGTAACTGTTCTTAAAGAAGCTAGCTATACACCTAGCATGTGTGCAGCAGCAGGCCCCAGCGGCCTCCGCATCGGTGAAGACTGATACCCCAGAAGGAGGCACATGAGGAGCCAAAAATCCAGGTCTCTGAAGCTCGCTCTAATGCTGAATCAAGAGAAGCACCTGTCAACTGTGCAGGAGCAAAACCATGGCTGCTCCATCTGCGAAGACTGGGACCAAGAAGGAGGTGCACTTCACACGTCCCGACAATAAGTAACTGTTCTTAAAGAAGCTAGCTATACACCTAGCATGTGTGCAGCAGCAGGCCCCAGCGGCCTCCGCATCGGTGAAGGCTGATACCCAGAAGGAGGCACATGAGAAGCCAAAAATCCCGGTCTCTGAAGCTCGCTCTCATTCTGAAGCAAGAGAAGCAAAAAGCCAAAAGCTGTACAAGGAAGTTGGATAAAGAAGACTATGTAAATCCAGGTGAAACAGGCTGCGACTTGCAGACTGAGCCGGCAGACATCGTTCAGTCTTTTGGAAAGCACCAGCTGCTACAGCCGCTTAGATGCGTACTGGACAGCGTACTGGCGCATAAACATTTGGCCACACAATGTTCCTTTTATGAGCTTTTTGCGAAGAAAAGAAAAAAAGAAGAAAAGTTGAAAAAAGCGTTTGTTCACGTTCTTTTGTGAGAATTCAAGCCTTGGGTTTCAAACCTGGTTTTGAACCGGGTTTGCTTTGGTTTCAACCTCCTGGCTTATTAAAACCCAGTTTCCAAACCTGTGGAATTTCCGCCAATGTGAACATACAGGCCCCAGAAGCGATTATGGATTCCGCAGGTGTCCGCTTTTTAGGTTCACAGGCAAACACCATGGCAACGTGGCAACGGCATGGGCTTAACATATGCAGAATTGAGCGTCTTTGCGTCCGTCTGCCAAGGAAGGTCAAGGCACAGCAAGCGACTAACAAGCGCCTACTTTGATCTTCTCTGTCAAAGCTTGGAATGGAGGAAAAAATGGCTGGCTGGCATCGACAAACAACTGTCCTCTACTTGTAGTTTCCGTTTGGCATCCCGTGGGTCCGTAACACTGCCACGAGCATTTCCTGCCAACATAGGTTTTTGGGGGGGTGTTCGAACCCAAGGTTTGGAACTTAGAGTTCCGAACCCAGGGTTTTGGAACTCCAAACTAAGAGTTCGGAGCCTCGAACCCAGGGTTCAAACATCGAAGTTCCCTCCGAACCCTGGGTTCGAACTTTGAGTTGAACTCCAAGTTGAACTCAACTCTGAACTTCTTGAACTGGAGTTGAACCTGGAGTTGAACTCTGAAAGGCG